TTTGCTAGTGCTTGTGGCTCTGTTCGTCATGACTGATCAGTGCAACGACACCCAAGCAAAACACCGCGTGTGCTGCATGTAGTGCAACGGCATCCAATCAAGAACATCGGGCACCCGGTCTGTGCAGCACCAAAAGTGTGGGGCATGCAGCATCAAAAGTCACGATGCCCGAGCGATCAAGCGCCGTGGAAATCACGCGCCCCTCGCAACCTCATTGGTCAGTGCCACGGCAACCCGAGAAAAGCGCTGCGTGTGCTGTACGTGGGCGTTTTGCTAATTACACCCAGCCACGCATGTGTCCCACTCACCATGCCGATGACGAAGCCCTTGCCAAACGCGCCGCGGGGTGGTGGTCCACCGCCCATTCTTTAAGTCCTTCGGATCACACCGCTTCCCCTACTGAACGCCTGCCGTCAAACTTGGGCCCCTCGCCTCTCCCCGGAAGTTCCCACCCCGGGCCCCGCGCCACGGCTAGAACTACGCCATTTCGTGGGCCAGGCAGCGAAGTGCGCCGCACACAGAAGACAGCCCACCACTCTCAACCCCTCCTGCGCCGCCAGGGCTGACCTGGCAAGCGCCAATCGACCGGAGGGGGCGCTGCGGCGGCGAGGGCCGCACCGGAGGTAGCAGTCAGCGGGTGGAGTGCAATGCCAATTTCCAGTTGATTGGCGAAAACGCAGGTGAGGGGACGTTGGCACACGCAAGTTTCTTTGGGACCAGGGCGGCCGCTGCGTAGCATTGTCTCTGAAGTGTGTCTCTCTGGGTACCTGCCCGTACTGTCGCCATTCCCCGGAAGGGGCACCTCGGCCTTCGTTCTGATTCTGGTCAAGCGCGGCTCTCAGAGTGACAAGAACCCAACTTGGTTCACAGTGGTTCCTGGCCCCGGGTCCCAATCGATCCGCAACCACGTAGTACAGTCGCCGCCCTGGTGTAAAAGGGTGGGCACGTGCTAATAGATAGCTTGGGTTTTGGCTGGTGGTCGAGCGCAAGGCTTGGTAAAATGGTTGTCCGCCATCAAGGAGCCTGCCGCGTGGCCGTGGGCCCGTCGGCGGGTGGGCGGCTGCTCCTCGTTTGCAGTCCGAAGCCGCGTCCCCCTTCGCGCGCCCACGGGCGCTCAAAAAACCCACCCCCACCGGAAGTGGGCCACAAGAATGTGAAGAGCGGAATTCCGGGCCTTGTAAGGATGTCCGACTTGGCTCGAGAGGGGCCAGCGCCTCGCCGTCGCTGGGTTGATCTCATGCCGCCAAACTGCGTGCATTCGCGATTGCCGGAATGAACCGCACTCGTGTGACTGTGTGACGTCTTTCCATTGCACCGCACGTGGTGGGCACTTCCGTTGAGTTGATGTCCCTGGCGGCCCCAGCTGGAACCCCTTCCCAACCTTTGCGCCGTGCTGTGGCGGCGCCAGGCCCTGGCGTTCTGCGGCAAGGGCTTGGGCAGCGCGGTGCACGGCATCAGTACTTTATGGCGGTGTTGCCGCTCTGAGATCCGTACGGATCACCGCGGAAAAGCCGCTAAGACCTCGGTTGGAAAGTGGTGGTGAACGGCCCACTGCGGCCGGGAGTCTTGAGCATTTGTTCGCGATTGGCATTTGTGTTTTGGATTTGCAACTGCAAGAAATCCAGTATCCCATTGGCAACATCGCAACTGCAAAACGTTATGCAGCTCCAGATTGGGCTGCTGTGTGGCGGAATACGTGCGATGCAAGTGCAGCCATGAATCCGTGTCCACACGTGCAGGGAGAAAGTTGCCTAAAATATTCAACCCTCTTGCATCAGAAAATTTCGTCGATATGCTTTCTGCACCGCATTTTATTTTCAGAGGCTTATTTTTATTTTACGTCTTCTCCGCAAGAAAAGGCCAAGCGTACGTTACTATGTACGGAAGGGTGGAATATTTTGCGGGCACTCGAAGCTGCTGTAGTTGCGCTGGCCCTAGGGTCAGTCCAGGCCATCGCCGCCCCTCCACAACCGCCGTCCTGACCACTCGCCAAGCATCTGCTGCGCTTAAATTTGATCACGGCTCTCGCCACAGGAAATGGAATAACTGTTGGAGGAAAAGTGAGTGGGTGGCAGCGCGCGTTTGTGCAGACGTGTAGCTGAGCCACGTGGGTATCCGCTCCAGGCCCTCTCCTGGCTACTCGTTTCGTGCTGTAAAGTAAACAATATCTTGCTTATTAGGTCGCTCGTGCAACAACGCAATATCCAGCAAAGAAAACTACACGATTCACGCTGGACACTTTGTGAAAAGTTGCCGAATCTTGAAAACTTTCTTAATCTTGCTGGCCAAGACTAACGCCTTACCGCTGCAAGTCTGCTGACTGGATGGTGTGCATGCATCAGGATTTGCTGCAATCTTTATCGGTGTTTCAGAGGCGCAGCGCAGGAGGGGGTGGCTGTTGCGCAACCTCGGACTTCGAGGACCGACGTCCAAGGTTGTGCTTCAGTCCGCCCCTTGCTGCGCTGGGCGGCTGAAACTCTGACCTCTGCGTAACGTGGAGACGACGGTCGTGGCGACACGCGCGCCCAGATATCTCCCAAGTGGTTGGAGCACGCGACCTCCGTGGCTAATGTTGAGAGAGGAAAGGGAGAGCACGCTCGAAGCTGCGGCGATGCTGCGCCAGGAATATGGACGGAGCTTGAGCGCCGAAAGTGTTGCAAGGCCTCTGAGCAAGTCAGCTGGAAGTGGAATATATTGCACTACTCGTTTGTTCAGTCAGATCTATTAAATCGTTAGCCTGTGCGAGTGAGTGGTGTCGCTGCCGACGCTTGTTCCATGTACAGCCCTGGGGCTCATTGAGAAATGCAAGCCGTGCAGAAGGACAGGAATCAGTATATGCGGCATCCCTGTGCACAGGCAGCAAAAGCTTGCCATTTGTCGGGAATTGATCATTCGAATCCAAAGGGCTGTGGATTGCGGGGTGCCAACACGTCTGCATTTGAAGCGCGCATTTCGTGCTTCAATCGCAATGCACATTGCCGCTAATGAGCGCGCAATATCTGCAACAACGATGAACTTCCAACGAACAACGACTCATCAATCGATTCGTGAATCGATAAGTGGGGGGTTTGCGCAATCTACAAAGCTTTGTACATCAAGGTGACCGTCTGTGTTGCGAATTTGACGGACATTGGTTTCAGCGACCGCTACTGCCCTCACGAGGGTATGCATGCATTTCATATTGGGCTGTGGATTGCCTCACAACAAGCAGTGGCTAGAACTTCCAGTGAGTGCCCGGGAGCGAGGGGGCCGAAGCCTGTTTGGCAGCAGGGCAGGCAATCTTCACCTTAATTGTTTCGTGCAACTCTCAACAATCCCGTTCGAAGTGATGCAACTCAAGTGGTGTCGGCTGTTCATCCGGGGGCAAATCAAAAAGTCTAAGTCGCCCCTTTCCCACCGCGCCTTTTTCGTGCTATTTCTTGCAAAGAGCACTCATTCTTGATGGAATGACTGTTATAAAGACTCACCCAACAGCATGGATCATTCACATGTGATCCGCAGACTCCCCTCATTAACAAAAGCTTTGTTATCTAAACCCTTTGCAGCCTGCACCGTCCATATATATACCCTCATGCGCGAGGGCACATCGGATGCTGGATATCACCCACATCAAGGCATGGCTCCCGCCCAAGCCAGTTGGCACATCACCCACGATCAGGTAATCATTATATAGTCGCGAAGGAAGATTGGGGGCCACCAGTTCTCAAGGAACCAGGAGTACAGGCACCGCACGTGCAGCCCGTGGCCGAACTTCCCCCCGAGGCTGGACGCCCATGTCCCGCCCACATGGCCCAGCACGCCGTGGCGCGCCGCCCCGTCCCCACAGCTCCCACCGATCCCGCCAGCGGCGTCGCTGGCACCGCGACGCGACCCGCCGTGCGCTGCCACGACCAAGCGGCCGCACGGGCGCCCCGCCAGGGCCGGTCCCCAGTGTTCGCGACGCAGCACTAAACTCTGTTAATCAGAGGCTCCAGGGCGCTTAGTAAATGGACAAATCCACCAGAGGCGAGGCGCGCTAGGCTGCGTCCGTCCTGGCGACGCTCTTCCTGGCTCGCCTGGAGACCTTTAGTACTCTCACTCACTTCAGCCTGCCTCCTGACCAGCCCGCTCACAGCACGGCCCTTCCCACACGTGTGGCCGCGTGGAACGTTGGACCGCCGCCGCGCCGATTCGCGCCTCCCCACACCGGTGTGACTGTGCGCCACGCGGGCCTGACGTCGGCCTCCAGAAACTCCATCGCCCCGCCATGTCGCGCTACAAAATGCAGCGGCTGTGCCCACGCCTCAACACACACGCGCGCGCATTCGCGGCAGGAGACAGCACCGGGGACGCGGGGCTGGGCGTCTGGGAGGCGGACCGGCGAGGGCCAGAGGGGCGATCGCGGATCGGCTGGCTACGCGATTCGCGGTGGTTGGGCGCGGGGGCTCGAGGGGCGTTTTTTGTTGAAGGCACATCGGAGACGAATCTCGGCCGGCGGCGGTGGAAATCTGAAGATGTCCGGGGCGCATGACCTGCGGCTGATCGTCCAGGTGGGCGGGACCGGGGTCGATGGGTGGGGAGGCGTCCAGCCGTGGCGCCGCGCGGGGCGCTGGGCAGCGCCGGCGCGTCGGTACAGGCGCCGGTGCGGCAGCGCTTTCTGAGGATGCAGACATGTTCGGGTGGCGGCGTGCCGCGCTGTGCCGCATCTAACAGTCTGGAATGGAGCGGTTTGGGTGCTGGCGGTCGAATGGACTGGAGGTGGATTGGCCCAGGATTTGTGCGTGCTCGCGTTGAGCGTCGCCCGTGCCATCTCGCCGCTCGACGACCGCCCGGGAGCCGTCCGCCCTTGGAACCGAGCCCCGGCGTGCTGTTGAATATGCCCAAGCCTGGCGGTTATGCCCCATCCCTCCCGCTTCTCCGCTTCCGTCCCGTCCCCGCATCTGCCGAGACTGACCGCCTTGTGTGTGCCCCCACCCGCGCAGTACTTCGGCAGATCGGTGGCCGCCAACGCCGCGGCCGCCATGAAGGCGCCCAACCCGGCATCGGCACTGGAGGCCTCCGGTGCCGCGCCGGGCACCGCCGATCTGCTCCGCGCCAAGAGCGCGCACTCACTGGCGAAGATGCTCGTCGACGCAGGGCACCAGCCTCGAGCCATCGGCGCCGCACACTCCAGGTGAGGAGGGCTGGCGCGGCCGCCCGCGACGGGCGCTGTCCTTCCGGGGTCCGCCGTTGACCTTCTAGGTCGCCCGACGCGCTTCCCGCCGTTTTGGCGGGGCGCATGGTTCGAGTCCCCTTGGGACGCGCACTGCGCTTTTTGCGTGGCCTTTTTTGGAGTACCAGCGCATTTGTCATGAACTCGGGGCGCTTTGCGGGGGCGGCACGCGGCCAGTGTGCGGTAAGCGCGCGGGCCGTGGGCGGGTTGGACCAGCCGCCGGCTTCGCTGCGCATCTCATGCGACGCAGCGTCAGCGGTGATGCCATCCCTGCCGAGCAACCCGTTGCGCCTCGTGGCCGTCGCAGTCGCCACCACCCATAGAACAGGTAGGATTCGTGCATTACGTGCAATCGAGGTCGCATCCTCCTTTTCCTCCCGATGTTTGAGGGAGCTGTGGGTGGGAGGCCCCGGTACAGATCAGAGCGCTCGCATATTGGAGCTTTATTGGTGATAGATTTAGTGATAGAACAAGCATTTGGAGTGTGTTGTTTGCACGTGTTATGGCCCTGTGAACTCGTCAGCAGCTCCACGCGCTGTGCTGCATCCTCTCTGGAGCTGAAGACGGCCTGTTGCCTGCACCCCTGCCCCTTCTGACATCGCGCCGGGTGGAGCAGCGCCTGGGGCGGCAGAACTGCGCGTGCAAACCCTCAAAATGTGGGGCTTTGCTGGGTTTTTGCGGCGCGCTCGCTTTTCTCAAGCCAGCAATTCGCTGACGCTCTGCCCCACGGCAATGTCACAGGTCCATGAGCACCTCGGCGGCGCCAAACGCGAGTGTCAAAGACGAGGGCCTGTCCGTGTTCGATCTCCAGCGCTTCGGATCGCAGATGCACAGCCCAGCGGCGACTGCCCGCGCCAGGGCCTAGAACTGAAGCTGCATGACGTTTGCCGGCCGCTGCCAATGGCAGGCTGCAGCCCTCGCTGGAAGTTTTCATGACACGAGCTACCACCAGTGGGAGTGGGCCCGCGGGCCCACCCCCACAGCAATTTTGAGAAATTTCTTCATCCGTCTGTCGGACTGGTGCCCCGTGGCCAGCGACAATTCCAGTTTTGAGATTCATTGCCTGCCAGGCAGGTGGGGGGCGCGAAGTACGTTTGCTTTCTGGGTGGGGCCGGGCGGGTGCGCTTTCGATGTGGCAAAGAGGCGCGCGTGAATATGGTGTACATTGCAAGGCGCGCCCAGGCCGGCGCCCACCTTTGGGTTGGAGACAACAGCGGGGAAACGGGGATTGCATCATTTAATGAGAACATGACCGTCGGTGGTGAGCAAAGGACGGAGTCGATTGCGAGCTAGGTTGGCGACTGAGGTGCATCATCTTGGCAAGGAGACGTGTCAGTATCTGCACTGTAAGGTCCTGTTACATGTGTCGATGCAATCGTCTGGCGGCGGAACCCGACTGGGGACGCCCAGCTTTGAGCGGCTGTTAAAGTCATGCATGACCCTGGCGGCGTGCGTGACGCGAGAAACGTATTTCAGTCACAGTGCCATTGCCTCGTGATCTACCTGGTTGGAGTTCGACCGCGCATCTGCTCACAATGGCACCCCATCAATGTGTTACTCGCACCGCAGCTCAACTGCACTCGCCATTTAACAAGCCCACAACTACTCCAGCGTTCCTCGGTCCCTGTTCACGTGTCTTCTCTGTTCTTGACTACAACTCTAGCGCTCCATGTTTTTCACCAAGTTTCCCCAAACGTTCGAAAATGTTCACAAGCCTGCTGGAGCTCATTCACAACACTAACGCCAGCGCCTTGGGCAATCCCCATTCACCAAAGCGTGGCCTGTCAACCCACATCCCACATGCTACCGACCATGGGCTCCGAATTGGAACCAATCCATAGGTTGCGCAGTCTCCGCAAGCCGGACGCCTGCTGCCCTCTCTTCAAATTCGTTGCGCCATTGACGCAATGTGTCAAGGGATGTAAGTCTCCACACCGTCAGCATACAAATTTTCCCTGCCCACAAGAAAGGACACCTTTACATCTGCGCACTTGGCACCAACCAAAGCCCCTTGCAAATGTTCCTCACGCAACTTAAGGAGAGCATTGAGAGCCGCCTGGTGCGTAGCACATCTCCATCATTATAAACTACAATCAGCAGGAATCTGTCACGGTGTTTGCGTTTGTGCCCCACCTGAATGCTGCCCCGCTCTTGATGGCGGCCACAGCGGCCTGCATGGCCCCTGGCTTGCTGTTCACCATGGCGCCTGCATCTCCGACGCCCAAGAGGCAGCAAACAGCCCGCACCCGGTCCAGCATCGAGATGTCTACCACCTGCCCAGCACCGAACGCATGACAGCTGTGAGCACCGTGGACGGCAGGCTTGCTTTGAATGCACGCATCAATGATTCAACAGCGCCAAGTTCTTTTCGCTGCATTTGTTACATGATAGTGGTAACCTTTCCACCAGACTCTCCACTGCGCACTTAACAAAGTTTTTGTGCGTCTCACACTTGATCTGCCCATGGTGCAAACGCCCTTAGTGATAAAAGCACGTGGCCAGAGGGATGGGCAGAGCCAACTGGTGCAAAGGGGACGCCAAGAAAGGTCAGACAGATCTGCAGAATGCAACATAAGCTGCTCAATTAGAATGACGTCGCTTGCAACTGGTACTGCAAAGTGGCAGACAACCTGCAGACCAACAGACTTGCACATGAGCACAGATGGTGGTAGTGGCCTGTGGCATTCTCATGTTGCACTGAACGAAACATGCATTGGGACTTGCACCATATTCCAATACGACCTTTGTACAGCCAGGGCAGGTGCCAAGAGACTGTGCCACAAAAGCTATTCATTCCTGTCATGGACTTCTGCCGAGATTGCAATTGTGCCACAAAGAAAACCTGGTCTCTTAGGCTCTGAGCGCATTGTGTACATTAGGACGCCCACAATATATGTGCGCAGATGGACACATGCGTGTGAGCAAACGTTAGTGCAAGGATTCTGTTCACCTTTCGAGCTGCTGGCGTTTGTGGCGGCGCAGCCATTCTGGCCATCCCCACCATTGGCTGTTTCAACATCGGTGTGGGGTTTTGACCCAGCCCTGATGCGCCCACCCCAGCAGGGGGACCAGCATGGCCCATGGGCACCCTTGTTGGTCCAGATCTGTCAGGCAGCACACAAAGATTTTCAGTTCCAGAAGGTCTGACTTCATGAGCTTCGAAAAGAAACACTATTTTCGGAAATGGTCGCAGCAAGAGTACAAAAATAAATCAAAAGCCAGCCTCCCCATAGAGGAAGCGTGATGCAGGGTGCGATTTGAGGAGGGCTAGTTGGAAACTTCTGAAAAGCAGGAAAGAGGAACAGAACAGTATGCAGTGATAATTCGGTGGGAGGTTCAGCAGCGAAGGTGACAGCATCAACTGAACGCGCCAGAAAGTAGTGTTCAACACTTTGCAGGACATTCTGCGGCTCATTTCTGCACAGCAGGTGCAATCCAGAACTTTCAGAATGTGGCAGTAGAGTATCACATAAATTGCAGTGGATGCCATGGTGACTGAATGCAATGTGTGTTTCCTCAATCACTGCCCTGGCTTCAACAGCTCTACTGCGGTGCAAAGCAGACTAAACCAAGACATTGTGAGGCTTACTTCCGCACAGAAGGGGCACTGCAAAACTTTGGAATGCAGCAGTCAAGTAGCACATAAATTGCAGGGAATACCATGGTGACTGCATGCAAACAATGTTTTCTTAATCACTGCCTTGGCTTCAACAGCTCTACCGCAGTGCAAAGCAGACCAAACCAAGTCAAGCATGTGCGATTTTGGCACATTGCAGAAGGGCGGGAAACAAACCACAGTTTCCACCACCATAAGCATGGATATGATGGTGCAGTGAAAGGCACATGCTTAAATTGCGGACCACCACTGTGCGAGATCCTAAGCTCCTGCAGTGATGAATGAGCATCAATACCGCCAGGCACACCTGCCAGCATGACTTAAGAAACACTTTGCTTCCAAGAGTGACCCCACTACAACAGCATGACATAACCCCTTAAGTGGGATGCTACAAAAGGACTTATCTACAATTTGAGATAATAATAGCAACCACCCCTAGAACATTTTGATGGCCTAAAGGGGAATTGATTCATGACAACGGCAGCTTGTCCAATTGCACACACAACATTTTCTCTCTGTTTTACGGAGTGCCAAACTGAGCAGCTCCTGATAGCAGCAAATCAGCCAAAGTACCCTGTCTATTGACAGTGTAAGGTAACTCTATTTGTGACTGTAGCACTGAGCATACCCCAACAATATGTTGGCTTAGTTCCCCAAGCAATGTTTTAATTCATTCGTGATTGTGGGAGCAGCAGTCGAAGCTGCTTTAACAGCCACATCGTTGCATCTGTAACTATCTCATCCGATCGAAAGTGGTGTAGCTTGAACACTCTGTCTTCAAAAATCTGTGTTGTGTTCAGTGGCTTCCATCGTCCCCAAGGGCCCAAGCAATTCGACTGGACCTGGCCACCCCAACTCCACTGACTTGGCCACAATTTAGCTGCTATCGTGCATGCATATTCACAGGGATATCCTACAGCGTGTTCCTGAAGTAGGGATGCTCCTTGCCAGTATCCCAACGCCGCCTGTCAGGCATGCTGCTCCCAGACCGTGGGCCCCAGTTCCCCTCTCGTTGGGACACCATGTCTGTCTGTAACCCAGCGCCCAGCTGCGGGCCTGCAGGTGGCCCACGATGCCCTGAGGGCGGGCCCTGGCTGGGCACCATGGGAACTGGGGCCCCTTGTGAAGCCCTACGCATGCCAGACCCAGGCGGTGCCGAGTCCCGGCGCAGGAAAGGGGGTCGAGGTTCATGATAGTAGCGGCAGCTTTCGCCATACGAGCACTTCCCTGAGTTCCGCCACCTGGCATGCACACACAGGCGGCCTCATTCAGCAATACAACACTCAGATCATTCAGGGTTGGATGCCCGCTTTGTCCCCCAGAACCCCCCAGAGGTTCGCTGGTAAAGGGGTAGGGAAATGGCACTTTCCAGTGTGGATATTCCAAGCAAAAATGCTGATTGACAAATGCAACACAACCACTCTGGTCTAGTTCGCCTAACGTTTGTGAGGAGCAGTAACAGCAGCTGTGTTTCACAATCAGAGGATGTAAGCACACCACTGGCAATGCCACCAGCAGAAGCACTGGCATCGTTTTCAGGTCCTGTCCCTGTGCAGCCATTGACATGGAAAGGATCTGCATCTACTCTTATAGGAAAGGAGGTTCATGAACGTTTAGTTGAATGTGCTGTAAAGTTTGCAGACCAAGCCATGCATAAACAGTGTTCCTGCTCACACATGTGCTACACTGGCTTTGTTGTTATCCAGGGTCAAGAATGTGCTGTGGTGTATTCCATAGCAGCAGTGCCGGCTGCAGCTCTTGTGCAATGCATGTGCATCACACACCTTAACTTAAACTGAAAACGTAAAGAAGTATGTTGGCCAGCACGCAGTGAAATGGTGAGAACAGGACAACCACCAGCAATGAAGAACACACAAGAACAAGAAATACAAAAGGCAGCCACTGCAAGTGAGCTGAGCAGCACATGCCCTGATAGTGAGGATGTTGGCAATTCAATTTTGACCAGCATTGTGATGTCCATGTAACCTGCTGGCAAATTGGTGATGTCAGATCATCTGCGTCCAGCAGAGGCACTGCCAGTGCAATCTCTCACACTGACTAAGAGGATTAGTTCTGATTCACAGCCAATATACAATACACCTCCCTGTGCCTACATGTTGCATATCCTTGGTGGACCTTGGAAGTCCCTGTCTGGGGGCCCTGCCCTCCATGACCCTCTTTGGCCCTGGTCCCCCTGCCCAAACCCACCACGTCGCCACTGCCCTGGCGGCCCACCCGCTGCGGGGGCTCCCTGCAATTGATGTCAAACCATTAAGAATGGAGCACTAACATGAAGCAACTATCTCAACTGATTGGTAGACAGCAATTATCTGTTTGTTGTTTCTCTCTTGCACTATTTCTTGTTCTTTCTTGTTGAGCAGTTGGAGAGGGAACGATGTTGCACACGAGAACAGGCAGCTCGTCCACCTTTGTGGGCCAAAACAGTTTGGTCAATATAGGGGGAGCCAGCATGCATGTCAGGAGCATAAATGGCTGCTGTTGCAAGCCAAGTTCGTGCGCAGCTGGCCCTGAGGAGACACATTGGAGCCAAGAGCAATTTCAACCTGTGATGTTGCCTACAAGTGCTGCCCCTAGTGTGGCCTGGTTCTCCACTCTGTCAGAACATTTTGGAAGAATAGGAAGGGTACGATCTTCCCAGTGAAAGTCCCAGAGAGCAACTGCACCTGCACAGATATCAGCAAGAGCAAATATGTCATGCAGCAGTGCGGTCCTGAACAAAGCATCCCGAGACGTGATGGACCGTGCATTGTGACACAGATGATTCTGAGCTCAACAGGTAATTTCTAGAATGCTGCCCAAATCGATATGGCTCTGCAGCGTGTGGAAGCACAAGGGACAGTTGTCCCTGATAATAGAACTTCAATCTCCATGTGTAACAATGCTTGGGTGCAGTTTTGCCCATCATCGCTTGCAGCGCTGTGTTTTGTCGCGTTTGGACAAATGCAATCAATGGAACTCTCCAGGGAGAAGACGTTGAAGCAGGGATGTGAATGCCCACCGATTCTAGACAGGTTTAGGCGCAAGCTCCATCGTTGACGCCGTACGTAGCTTTGCTGATGGCGAGAAATCGAAGCACGGGAAGTTCCACAAGAGCGGCGGTGCGAGACCCAGAGTGCATGTGCATGTCTCTTCCACGGTGCTTGTGTGCCGGACCCAGCGTAACAAACAAGCGCTCATTTGGAAACCCCGAGTGGATGCCCCAAAAACGCGTAAGATCGAATCAAGGGGTTCTGGCTCAGTTTTCCGGCTAACAGAGACGCGTACCCAGGGCTGCACCGTCAGCGGTCCTCCCTGGCACGCCGTGTGGGCGTTTTCCCCCCTGGAGCCAGTCAAAAGACAACAGACATCTTCACCTGGAATGAGCTGCTCTGATCGTTCCCGAAGTTTGAAGGAGGGCGCGGACGATATCCCGGCCCTTGTCCATACATCCCGCTCATGTCTGTTGCCTCCGTGTTCCAGCGCCTTCCTTCCCGACCTTCTCGAAATTTTCTCCCCGCGCCTCGAAAGTTTCGACAGCTGTCGGCTCAGTCCGCAAGCGAACAACGAAAACATTTGTGCAGGAGGAAATGCTGATGGGCACTTCATGTATTACGTAAGGGAGGTTTTGGAACAAGTCGTGAGCTGCCTGCCGCTGATCAGCAGTGTTGTTGTGCATCTTCCCAGTTTGTTTTGGTTTTGGTGCAATTACCTACTCTCTTGGCGTCCATGGCCTGTCTCCAACCCACCCCCCATCCCCCCTCTTTTGTGTCCATTTGACGTTGAGCATACCGAAAACAAAATAGTGTCTCCACTGACAGGAGTGACGTAAGCTGAACATGTAGAAATACAGCTGCAGTTGGGTTCATCCTACTTATGTCGAGCCTCTGCGGCATTCCTAGCCTGGCCGCAATGCAGCAGGAAGGAAGCTTACACATCACATGCCTGGTCAAAACACCGCGGCATGCTTTATACATTTCCTTATGCATGATTTTTGAACGCAGTGAATAAATGCATGATAGGCGGTAGGCTTCATTGTCAAGGGAAAATAATAAGATCCTGACACAAATACGCCTTCCCAAGCCCAGTTTTTTTCAATTCTGGCAAAACAGCAAGTGCCCAAGCAAATCACCAAATCAGGCATTTGGAATCCCTTCCCCATGACCCTTTTCTCACAAAGTGGCCCAACCATCACACTGAGTAGCATTGCAAGTTTTAATGGTGGCTTTCCAAAAGAGGACCCCCTCACCATCACATTTACCCCAAGCGTTTGGGAGGGTGCGTTGCGTTGGGTGGGCTGGGATGGCATTCGCCCTCCACTGGCCTGATCATCCCAACTTAATTTCTGTCAAAAAAACTCTCATCATCTGGATCTGAATATGATCTTTACAGCCCCCTCTGAACTCAAGGAGCACATCATATTGATTTTTTGGTCACTCTTACCATCAAATTGACGTCAATGGGTGGGGGGTGGGGGCGGGGTCATCCAGACCTGTGGCGCTAAGAATTTACAGAATTACCACAAAACGACGTAGAGCTGATAGAGAGCCCAAAACCGCTGGTAGTAATTAACAACCCTTCAAAGGCATTTCCAAACATTTAATTACTCGTTTGCTACTTGGCAAGCGCTAAACAAGTGATGATGTATTATAAAACATCATTGAAGTGCCAGTTCTTTGCCGAAGCCAGACTTATTGCTTGCGGCATATACACAACGTGTATTTACGGTTTTTGTGTGCAAAGACAGTGCGTGTAGACTCACGGAGCCCTGGGAGTGGCACAAGGACGCGCTGGAGTGGGCAGAAATCGACCTTTTGTTTGATGACCTCGTTGCCCTTGCCGAGGGTGAGATGGGCGCTGTGGTGTGGGTGCTCGAAGGTGCGGAGGGCTGATCATTGCTTTCATATTCATCACGTAACTTGGGTGTCTCAACATGCAAAAATTATGCAAATTGATTCGTAAATATAGCCGCTCTTTTGCGTTTTTAAGTCTTTACGCGTAAAGAGCTCAACGCGAATATGGTGCCATGCACATATATGTTCATATGAACATATACAACAAGCCTGGCAGATTTTCAGAATATGTCTCAATCGACAAACTCAGGCATCAGCTCATTGCCCGCTATCACTATTAGTATCCTATTTCAATCCTATGCAATCGCTACAGCTCTGCATGGCGCCCCTGAAAGCACCCAGGTTTGTGTCCTGCCATTATTTTGCTGAGTCGCCCTGGCATCGATGCAAGGGTTGGCAGCAAGGAAAAGCAGATGGGCGGAATCTCTGAGGTTAACGGCGCTAAGCACTCCAGATCGGTATAGCGTGCTTCCTTACGTTATACGATTTAGAGATGCGTAATACGATGTCATGAATGTGAGAACAGATATAATGTAACATTTGTTGTGTTATGGAGAAAGTGTAATTTTTAGGCGCAATGTTGATCGTGCATTGGAAAATCGCAAGGGGCCCTGATGCACCACAAACATGCACACTTGGTGAAGCCATCAACTGCAATCATGTGAACCCAACTGGCAAAAAAACACGAAACCACACTGCACAAAGAAAGCCGTGCGTGAAGCTGTGCACACTTCAACTCAAGCCAACGGCTGCTGTGTCTTTCTGTTCTTCGTCAATACCATATCGCTGGACACCAGCACTGCTGCGCGATGCAACCTATGACCATACAAATCGCACTTCCGAAACCACTTGAGAATGTATCAATGCACCAGAGGTCACACTCAATGATATAGCCGATGCTCGCCGTCTGGGAAGGGAGAGTGAGATGGCTGCTGTAGATTCACGACTTCTTGGCATGCCAGAGTGCATGACAAACAGTGGCTCCCAGCACAGTTGTGTTTGATGGACGGTTAGCATGTCAACTCCATAGCGCTGTGTCAGCCTCTGGCAGCTGTCTGCGGTGTGCTGCTCTTGTGAGTCTGCACATTGGTGTAGGTGTACTTGGCGTGAGAACTTCCATTTTCCTTTTCTTCGTTGCAACTGTTTTAGTGCTCTTTGCTGATTGCATGGTGTCACACTTTTCATCCCTTGCCATCAAATCCTGGAGCTTGGCTCGGTTCCTGTCAATATTTGCTGCCCTTGCAGTCTCCAATTGAGTTGCTTGCTGGTGGCTTCCCTAAGAGAAACACAAAACGCTGTTGCCAGAATAGCAGAAATGCAATTGTTTGCAATATCCAGTTCTTTCTCACAATGGCACCCCAAATTCATTTTTACAGCAACTGTAGCACTCTTTGGCTCTTGACATGTCTGCATTTGCAATCAAATATCAATTAGCATGATTCCAATTTGTGACCAAATTTAATAGTCACGATGAAGTTGTTCCACATGTGTAGAATGTGAGAAAAATCATGTACACTCTTGCAATTTGTGAATATTTGGAAATAGAGTTCAATTGCCATACGGCACAGATTTCAAATGCCTTTGACTAAGCTGTTTTATCTGTTCCAACTGTGTTTTGTGATGTTGGCAATGTTTGATGTGTTCTTCCTGTCAATCAATGGTGAGCTGGTGACACTGGCAAGAACACTACATTTGCATTGGCAATGAAAAATTCACCAGTGCCTCCATACACTCTAAGGACTTCACTCTTGCTCCTGTGTATACATCTTTTTACAACAGGTGCATCGCATGTTTACAAGCTCCAATTAGTATTTAATTAAATATACTAAAAAACGTGTAAAGATACGAGCTAATGCGTTTTAGCTTGCCATGCCAACATCTTATTGACAACAGAGGTAACCACATCCACCAGAAAGTGAGTGATACAAGCTGATGATCAGCTGTTAATGTGTTACTGGACAATTGGGCCATCAAACGAACTTTTACAGGCAGACAACATTGGCCAGTCTGGGACCCTGACAGAATAGTATGAATAATGAGAGCACGAAGGAGGGCACCTTGTTAAAAGCCAAAAATATGGTCCTGCATCAGGTGATGCACACCCACGACAAACATAGGCGCGCCAACGTTTGCATGCACCATGGGCTGCACCGCCAATGTGAGCTGCCCATAGTGAGTCATGGAAGCACCTAAAGGCTGTGGTCTTCTGAAACGCCCAGTCTAGCGGACATCAACACAATGTGCCTCTACTCGGCAGGCACTAAAATGCGCCACACATGCCAAAGTGGGTGTCTTGGAGGTGTGGGTGGGCGCAACGGTGCCCGGACGCATGATTCAGAGAGACGGGCCACGGACAGAGTCCCCAGACCCCCCGAAGCAGGCTCTAGAAATGAGAATAAGGCCCAAAATAATAATGTGGAAAAGTGCATGTATTATCACGTATTTCTACTTGGAGCCTTAGAATACGTTTGAAATTACAGCAAAATTTCCAACGACATGCAAATTGAATCAGTCAGTCTCAACGCCCGACCCATCCATGACATTCACCCATCATAAGGCCAGCCCATTGCTCAAGGCCTATCCATGCCCATTGCATTGTTCTCATTGATTACGTGCATGTCGAGGCCTTCTCAAGAAGATGGCCACCCAGCGCCTTGCACCCAGGCACAGTATGTCCACGGCCAAGATATCCACGCTAATGTGGCCTCCACTGCACGGTTGAAGTAGGTTCTCCGCCACATTTCACATCACGCTTTCATGACAAAAGACATCTGCCCATCCACAGTGGCCTTTTTCTGTGTGCAAACATAGCTGGGATCGATCCCTCTACCGTGCATCCCTCAACCGCCACAGCCTTTTCTTGACCACTCACTGATTGATCTATTCAATGGATCCCGTGACACGAGCGCGCATAGGCTTTGCAGATGGATCAATACTGCTGCTCGGCTTTGAAACTTCGTTGCGCTGTTTTCCTTTACGTCGCTGATCCTGCAAGCGTATCATCTCGGCCAATCTATTTCGGCATTTGCCCAAATGTGGCAAAACTGCGGGCATGCCAAGCAGCGAATTGCAGCTGTGATCGCTCGCTACTGCCGTTTGTCGTAATGGCATGCCGTTTTGGTGCAGGTTGCCACCATCTCAATCACATCTGCATGGGCGACAAAAGGGCTAGCAGCCATTGCCACAGTGCCCGCTTCGCCCCTTGCCTCACCCAAGCTCTATCCAGACCCCACTGATGCTTGTTCATGCATTCCTTTCGGTGACATATTGCTCCAGGCAATAATTATGGACTAACAGAAGTTCTGCAGGAGAGAAAGTGTGGTGGACGAGTGGCAGAAGCTAGCCCTTTCACTTCAGGTATGAAAGCATAATGGCTTGCAAAAAAGCTTAAGAAATTTATGTATGGGAAGTCATTATTCTGAACAATTACATGGAACACAGTGGACTGGAGGATGAATAGACCCCCTTTAATTGGAGGCCACAATTGCAACAATTGCACAATTGTATCCATTTCCCTTATCTTCTATTGTATCACAAACTGCTCCAGTCAGTTGCCTGATTGAATTTACAAAATACACATCAGTCGCAAGTGTTAGTCTAGATTTCAATCTCATTATGTGATGAGTTGTTCAGGCTTGCAGACCAAAACATTGGGACTCACCTGTGCATTGCTCTTGTGCGTAGCGGCATTTCTTTGCCTGTTTTTCTTCTTTGAGAGAAGTTTCTTTGCCTCTCTTGGCCAGTCTTTTGGACGGCTGATCACTTGAACCTGCTGGTTTGGGGCCCACAAGGGAATAATTTCCACATCTCCATCGTCATATGACAACGTGTGGCGAAGATTGATGCGATCGTAGTCTGTCACCTGATATCAAAATGGTGTTTTACCTATATGTTAGTACCTGTACTGGACCACTAACTGCATTGTACCCCAGCTTCAGTTTTGAATCACAACTCTTTTGTGGAAACTCAACATTATGCTGGCACATCAAGATTAATCCTGATAATAATGAATATATTTCATGAACGTATACACCAGCTGTGATGCACAAATTATTTGATATGTTTTTGAATATAGACAGGGTGCCCTAAAGATGGGTGACTGCCAGATGCGGACAAGAACAATGTGTTGGGATAGAAATCTGTGTCTTGAAAATATTATGTACCAATTCATCCTGCTTTAATTTAAAACATTCACAGTTTGTGTGACCCAATCTTTGCAGCAGACAGAATCTGGCAGATCCTGCCAGCCAGAATCAGAGTGGCAGAGAGTCATAGAAATCTACGCATGCTGACAGAGATCCAATGTTAGACCTGCTGGCCCACTTTCAAAGTGCCATACCTGTCCCCTGTACCACGCCTCATCCAGTGGCCACCACACTTTCACTTTTGCACCAATCGCACGTATTCCCATTACGGCCAGTTGGGCACCTGTGTGGCCAGCCTCTGCAGCAGCCATGGCACGCACATGCAGACACCGCCTCCGACGGCCAGAGCATTGGTTCAAACATGCCTCACAGCTGCCACACCTTACAGCACAAGTGGCAGGGAATATGGGCATCTCACAAAGCCATATTGGTGTTGCTTATGCTCATGATACATCAGCAATATAAGGAACACATTAATACAAGTGCCAACATGTGCTAATGTGAAGAACATGACGATTAAGATCAACATACTTTGGAAATAAACTGCTGAAATGGCATGGAGATGTGGACCAAAGCAGCAATCTGCTGGTAGGCAAGCATAAAGACTATATGCAGTGCATGTTGTGCATTTAGGCATGTCGTTCCCTGCACTGAATCCAATAGCAATGCCAGAAACATAATTCAATTTTATTGTCATTGAAATTCTATACTTCTGACCACTGCAGCATCCCACAAGGATGTTCTGTTGCACATACAAAACTCTCTTGCACTTGCCATGTTTCAGTATTTAAACAGTACACATGCAAGAGTGATCAATGAGCTGATGGAGTGCAGTGTGAATCCACTACATATTGGCTCCCCAAGCATCTGTGGAATGACTGCAAAACAACACCCACATCACCACACTCATACCTAGGCCTTTTATTTGCAGCGGCTGCCATTTCAGCAGCCCTGGATGCCAAGGCTGATGAGCACTGGAACTTTTTGCCCTTGCTCTGTTTCTTGACAGCCAACCAAGTCTTTGCCTGCTCCAGAGCCTGATCAAAAAGGGCTGGCTGTCTCAGGAGCCCTGCCTTTTGAAGCTCCTTGGCTTCCTTTGTAATCTCATCCAGGTGCTTCTCAAATGGCAAGAGCTCGCATGATGGAAGCCATAGATGTGACTTATCACCAAAGAACACCACCAAAACACGGCAAGAATCTGCACTCATGCCAAAACAGTCTTTGAGAAGCACATTGATGCAATTATCTCACATGTTGCACACATTTCAAGGTGACTGCCATTGCCATTCGCAAATGCCATTCTGGGGCCATTCTTGGACCACAAATCATGGACTGGACATGAGATCACCAATGGGCACATCTGAACAACATTGTGCTTGGTCTTTGTGCCTGCCATTGCCAATTCAGGGCAAGGGCTGCGCTTTGCCATTGTATGACAAACGAAATCCAAGGAATTTGAGTGAAACAGAATGTCCCAATTCACACAGAGGGAAATTCTTAGTATGCTCTAATAAGCAGCGAAGAGCTCAAACAAATTTTCACGACTAGGCAACCATAGAGTGACCAATTTCTTCAACCTTGAATGCTTAATTTCTCAAAGAGCATCACAGAATCACAAATCCTGCGATTAGAGATTGAAGATTGGGTATTTTGATCTCACACATGGCCAAATGCAATCGAGAGTTCAAGACTACCAGCAGTGGCCAGATTCTGCCTATTCATGTACGTTTTGTGTGCCTGACATGGGATACCAAGCCTCTGGGATATCTCCTGCTGAAGACACCAAATGTGGGTTCCTGCCAAGGTACCAGCGGCACCAATGGTCCATGCCACCCTGTTGCCTATCCTTTGTGCTGATTCCTGTCCACACCCACACCCACTGTGCCCCCTTTTTTTGCAAAAATGGGGAGGCTGGTGCCCCTGCCAACAGCACTGGAAGTTGGGCATTTACTGATCCCAAGTGTGAAACTCACCTCCTTGAACTGGAGTTTCTTGAGCATACACACAAACAGATTCTCCTGCATCTTCTTCAGCAGGGTATCTGGGCATGGTTGTAGTCCCAAACAGGCTATTATCCGCTTCCCCAGCATGGTGCCCAACACTCTCCCAGGTGTCCCTTGGAAGCCAGTGTGTGCGTTCATGGGGGGTCAGTTTCAACAGTGCATCGATGGGCAGGGTCCTTCCTTTGGGCATCCTGAATGGATCAAGCTTCTCTGCTGGCCACCAAGTCCCAGCAATTGGGCAACGTCCCCAAACAAGGTCTGAGATGCTCTCAGAATCCCCAGGGAGTCCTTGGAGGCGCACAACATTGGCAACCTGGATGTCATACATCACTTCAGAAAACATCTTGAATCAGAATTACCTGTGCATATTATTGGCTTTCTTTAAATCAACAATGCCAGTTATGTATAGGGACATCATGTACAATTTCAATCTTAAGAATAAAGTGTAGGCATTGTTTCTTCACCAGGGTGCATCTTTGTAAGGTGCACTAAAGAATGCAGACATGGGGTATTTGTCGCTGTTAAAAATCACTTGCTATTCTTTCAGACACTTTTTGCAGCTACCCATTATTCATTTGCAGGCAGACCCCTGCACAGAAATTCAGCTAGATGTTTGCTTGAGGCAAAATATATGTTGACGCTTCTTCCTATCTCGAATGGCTAGATTACACTCAACAAACACAAATTGAATACCAAGATCACATTGGCAAGGGTTTGACAGGGTCGTTGTGGTTTTGATTGCCAGGGTTATTCAAAAGCAGCAAGCATCAAAAATAGATGCAAGGTCAACTTTGCTCAATGCAACACTTTCCAAATTGCATTTGGATAGTCAAAATAATGGAAAGCCAGAAGAAGGATGGCTTGCGTTGCTCAAAAGAGATTCCTTTTACTGGTACTTGCCTCATGTGCAAAGGACATTCCACAACGAGTTGCCTTCTTCACAATCTCTTCCACATTCCATCCTTGCTCCCTCAAACGCATGATATATGTGTTGATGACATGCTTACCCGGAAGACATCCAACCTGGATGTACCAGCTTGATCACTTCACCAACTGCGATAATAGAAATTTGGGAAGACAACATCTGACAGCATTTCACATGAGCAAGGATGCTCACAACACAACGATAAGTGCCAAACACGCTATCCATCAACATTCGCTTAGTAAATGCAAAGAAATGGGCCAATGGGCAATCATCATTGAATCCAAAATCATTTGTGCCCATGTTAACTTGAACATCGCTCTAGCAAACATTTCACACTGTGAAATTCACAGCCAAAAGGACTGGTGATACAAGCCAATTTTTATGATGCAATGTTATCATTGCAATAATATTTTTGCTACAAACTTTGAGTCGGCCAGGAGATAGCAATGAATTGTGTTCCAAAACGTGGAACTATCAATACCTGCAATTCAGTGTGCATCAACTGCAACGCTGCATTTGATATATGCTACATTCTATACATTGAATTGTGCACATACATAGATTGTGTACAAGGTGTTGAAGAATGCAACGCCGTGATGAATGGTAAACGCCTGCAACTTTTTCCCCAGGTGTGCTGGTGATATCCTTTCCTGCTCAACACATTATTGCATGGTTTCCAAGCATCTCTTTCCAGTAACATGCGTCCCTGTTGTCTCCATACAGCTTACCGCTGAATGCTGTTCTTCAAACTTGACATATAAAAGGAAATAAGCATGGATGTCACCCACTGATGAAGAACATGCAACAATATGGTGTATCACGAAATAGCTGTCAGTACAAAACTGTCCAGCATTGAAGAAAACACTACTGAAACGTATGACAGCTAATACCAGTACAAAACAGTCTGTTTGCAATACCAATTGCAATGCCATTTGACACAAATTGATGCCATCGCAGCTTTTATGCCACTTTTATGCCATCGCAATCACTGCGATGGCATCATTTTATGTCAAAATGGCATCGCAGTTGGCATCACCAACATGCTGTATTCTCCCAGTGTTAGCAATGCAACTTGTGCATATATATACATATGAGGATGGAAGCAGTTGGCTGTTTTGATTCAGGAGCTGCAAACGTGAAATTCTAACATGCCTTCATGGAAGTCCAATTATGCACTCAAAATTTCTTCACACTGGCAATGCGATCATTTTGGTTACCATCTTTACACAAACCTACCTCTGATACAAAATCGCCTAGCACTGCAAGTGGATATTTCACTGGGGCATCTGACAATCCTGTGATGGCATGCCTGCAAAGCAAAGCAGCCACAAGAGAAAACGATATTGTTCAATTGTTGAAATTTGTGGTCACTACGAATACTAGAACACCAGCTCTGCCACGACCTCATTTCCCACTGGATGTTGTGGCTGCAGCTGCAGAAACCTTGCAACCAACATTACAGATCATTTTCACTCGCTGACAATATTGCATTGATAGGACATTCACTGAGAAAATATTTGGAAAAACAACACATGTTCAAATGTGCACAAAGTTTATGGGTCTGAGTTATTTTTCATGTTTTAGCATGCAGAAGACTGATGAAATGCATATGTATTTGCAAGAGTCTCATTTGGACTTTTTCCCTAATGATTGATTGCATTGAAAGCATGTCTACTGATTAATCATACAATTTGATCCACCCACCTGCCAGCTCCCTTGCAGTACCAGGCTGCCCTTGGCCATGTGCCACTCCCCATATCCGCACAGCCATATTTTTCACACTGCAGACATCCAGGACGGATTTGTATTGGCAGCGCACAAATGATTTGTCAACAAGTGTGCAATACTATGTTGAAACAGACATCAATCTTCATGATCAATGTCAAAAACAGACTCAGACTTTAACCGATGCTTTGAAATACTGAGCCACATCTGCCAACAATATGTTGAAACTACACTGATAAGGCTGGAATCAACATCTAACATCATCAGCATTTCCAGGTTGACAATCACAACAGTCAGTGCTTCATAGCATGGGTAGCAACACGGAATTGAGAGGTCAGTGACTTGTGGACTTGTGATTTGTGCCATTTTCTGCCATTCTTGACTGATTTTTTAATACAACATTCATATACAGCAGATATTCTAATGAATATTTTCAATCGCTCCAACAATTATACAACCATGAAAACGATGTGTACAAGTTCATGATTTGTGCAGCAGGGCTGCAAATGGCTGTTTTGCACAAGTAGCAACAGCATAAGTGCTCTTAAATCTCAATTTGTAATCAGAGTTTTAAACAGGAATTGTGCGTTGCAATGGTTGGAGCACACCCCGCAAGGCAGCATCATGACAAGCAACAATTATACGTGTGGTAAGCACAATGCCTTGATCAACATTGCTCAAAGAGGGCTTCTCTGCTGCATATATATTTTGCTCCTAATAGTCACAATATGTCTTGCTGCTCCATGAATATCTGTTTTCTAAAATTGGCTTGCAGTGGAAGGTGTGAGACTGTGCCAACACATGCTGGTAGCTGCTCTTGGGAAATCCCTGAAGTGCGCCCCAGCCCAGGTGTGGAAGCACCACCATCACGTTCAGCCAATTTGAATTCTAGCTGAGGGATTGATGGAAATCTCTGCTGGGTAGGGTACAAGCTGTGGCAAAATGATCAGTAGCTGAAAAAGTGAAAGCAATCTCACAATGCATTATTCGGAATTCACAGTTGTTTGCAGTTGTAATAACTAAGTTACATGTAGTTTGCTCATATGCTGAATGAGTGTCTGGCTACATGGACTGCAGTTCTGTGTTTGGTCAATGTGTATCAGGAATCCGCAGCAGGAAAATCTCCAAAAGCAACAGGAAATTCTTCCAACCCATACCTGATGCAATTTAGAGAATGAGATGAATTACACAATGACAGACAGGTGAAATTTGTGATGGGAATTGGCTACCATGGCACAAACCAGTTGCAAGTATAATGTGGCATGCACATTGGCATCCAATGTCAGGCAGCTTGGTATCTTTCTGCTTTCATTCACTGTGACTTACTGAACGTGAAGTACCTTGATGCCCATTATCGACCCTTGCCATTCTTATAGAGTCACACACAATGTCAGAACACAATGGCTTGTGCAGGTGTCAAAAGCATACTACATTAGCATGCAGCTCAGATTGATGCAATCCCCGAATTGCGGATTCTCCTTGAAGGCCCCCTCCCCATTCCCCCCCTATTTTGGTCCACAATTTCCAAATATGTCATGTAGTTGATGGCCAATCCCTTTATCAAGCAATTCCAGGGCATAGATATATCTTTGATCTGGATCATCTTTTGAGAAAACAAAAATTTCCCCATTAATGCAAGGGAATGGTGCATACCACTTACAAAGAGCTTTGTTATTTCACTATCAGGGGCAGCCATGAAATCCTTCACTGCATCCATTAATCTGATTTAAAACAAGGTTTTTATCTCAGTCACATTCACGTCCTCCAAGGGTAAGCTATATAAATTGCTCCTGTCTATATGTTTCGAATTCCACTGGCATAAACTGCCATATTTTCAAATAGATACACTCTTAGTGCTGTGCAAAATCTGATTCCATGGTCAGGTATCCATTCATTACACACTTGTGATTGTGGCTTTGCCCATAATTGCTGTGAATCAATCATTTTGCAATCCTGCCCTTGCTGGGTGGCATCTAGGGCCCAAATCTGATTTGCAGGCTGCAACAAATGGTTGGTCTACCCTAAATAACTGGTGGCTGGCCCAGCACGATGTGCTGCTGGTCTCTGAGATGCATTGCTGAACTTTTTTCAAAGGGATTTGGTATGTAGGTTGTTGTTGAGGTGTGGGGGTGTGGGGGTGGGGGGTGGGGGGTTGCATTGCAAGATCCTCAAAAGACTTCCATGTGGTTGTGCAAGTGCCCAGCAACCACATGATAGGGTGATTGTCCTGATGCCATGCACTCCCACCTCCCACCACCACACATCCCTGTCCTTTCTCTCATTGGTGTGCATGAGCAGCAACATGCAGGACGGAGGAATATTGAAAGGGCAACCTTTGGGTAGAGCTGCTCCCATCACCTGTGCTGTCCTGCAGAATGTTAGCTGCTGCAGCACTTCCTATTTTCTGCCACATGGCAAAAAGCATTGAATCCAAAAGTAGCTCATCTTGGACATCAACTTTGGCACTTAATTTAAAGTTTCTCAAGACTGCTGACTTGAACAAATGCCAATCCCTCAATTCTCTCTTTCTGTAACCTGCTGTGTGGTCTTATGTCTCCAGTGCACAAGCATGCACATCCTGATTTTCTGCTGTTTGGACTTGTATCTCCAGCTCACAAGCATGCACATTCAGATTTTTTAAATTGTAAACTCATTTTTGAAAAGCGGATCATGCTGCTGCCACAATTACATGTTTCCATTGTGGATTGCCACATCTTGAAGAAGTGAAATAATTGTCTGGTGTTATGCATGGGTACCTGCTAATCGTCTGACTGTGTGCATATTTTCCAGTCAATTGGCAACTGCATGCTAACCTCATCCCACCCAGACCCCAGGGTGGTGCAGGATGTGACAGCCCCTACTATGCATGGAACAATAGTTGGGAATGTGTAGAAGGGGATGAACTTTCAATTGGAACATGAAAAACATGATCAACAACATAAACTAGGCATTTGAGAAATTTTGTGGCCATAATTACAAGCTGCTCCCCATCGTAATTGCCATGAGGGCCATTGTACAAACATTTTCCAGAATTAGCAATAGGAAAAGGGGGAGATATAACCAAACATGATGGATAGTGAAAAACTAACTCAATATCGATTTGTGCTAAAATATACAGCCCTGTTCATCAGGTTCCCAGATACCCACCTTTCTTGTGTGCATTTCATCACCAGCTTCATGACTAACTTCAACAGATTCGCTACCACTTGAAAGCCCTGAATTTGCCTCATCTGCATGAAATTTGCAAATAAAATCAATAATGTTACCTTTTTGATATGGAAAACAATTATCATTGTTATTCCACAATCTTCATCTGTGCATTTTTTTGGTGCACGGCAAACAACTAAACACTCATTGCAGAAGGTACCATACTGAATGAACTCATCTCCACAATGATGTGACACTGTCCCTTCTTGCCAAGTTGCTGAAATTGGAAACGGCATGGTTCTGAAGGTATGATGAGCAAAAATGCTATAAAGAAAGTGGCACCAAATTTCCGATCATTAGTTTTACCCAATGGCAACTTGCGCCCTTGCACTTGGTTCTATTCAGTTCGTATTTGCACAGCGGTGTGCTCACAATGGCAGCATCATTGAAGGGCAATGTCGCAGCCTGTTGCCTTCCAATATTCAATTGAGTTTGGCATCCCATTCCTAATAGTAGTAATAACAACAGTGTGAATAGATCCTTGGTTCATTCCACAAGTGGGCACCTAATATATTGGGCAGCTATGGCGCTACTGCACAGGTGATTCTACAAGAGAATGTTTGGTCCAAGTTTGGCACCATGGCATGGGGACAGTGTCAAAGTCCAGGACGTCCATGAAATGGTGATTTGTACCATGTCGATGGCTGAGCCTCCACTTCGGGGCCACTCCAGAAACATGTGCCATTGATCAGTGATTTTCACTGGCTTTGCATGATGCCCAATTGAAAAAAACATTGAGCAACAAGCAGCCATGCTATGGCATTAACATTCAAAGTGCATATGGGGAGTGTCTGTATCCGGGATCAGATTGTGCCTCATGGCAATATGTGACCAACTGCATGCCTTTTCAGTCTGAATGGCTGTGATTGTGCCCATCGATGCAAGGTTGGGCTTTGAGGTAGGTGGTGGGTGGGCTAGTGAGTTCATTCGTCCCGTGTTACTTTGCCCACTTGGCTTTGGTCCCAAGAGGCTGCGAGGGGGAACACAAAAGTCCTTCACAATAGTTTTCCATCACTGGGGGGTTCACCCCTTGTGTCAATGGATAGGATCAGACAGAGCTGGAAAAGTTCATGAGAATTTCAAGATGGGCAGCTGCCCTGGGTTTCCATCACTAAATGTACTAGCCCTTTCATAAGGGGCTTTAGCATGTCCAGAATAACATTTTCTCATGGCCCGGCCATGACAGTGATTGATTGCTGCAACCGCTCAGCCTTTTTGCCTCAGGATGTTGGCAGCCCTGTACACATTTAAACTCAAAAACAACATATTTTTGGAGGTGTTTCTAAATGGTCTGGATTCCTAGAAAATGGGTTGATCATCTGCTTCAACAAAGTTGACATGAACAGACAGGTTTGGGGAGACCTCATGAGAGTATTCTCCAAGGCAAGTTGTCTTTGGCCACAATATTGCCAGATTTCTATCATAAAGCTTATACCTGTTGTTTACGCATAAATATATCCACGAATAAGCATAGCAACATGTAATTGTAGCTTTCCTGCCACATTGTGGAAATACACATATTTATGCACCCTGTAGACCTGCAAAATGGGTCGGCTTTTCCTTGGTGATTGACTATTATCCTCGCTTGCAATGCCACCCAAGGTGCAGTTCGGGCCAGTTGCCAAGTACTTAAATTACAAAGTGTATGGATGCATAAGCCATACAGGCCACATGATTCTGCTGCAACATAGTCATGAACAGTGGCAAGGGGCACCAATGCTGTACCCAGACTGGCACCAGCAGCCACTATCAGTGGTGTGATAGTGTGCATTGGTGAAGTCCCCTTGCTGGTCAACAATGAGTGTGCATGCTTTCATGCGACATTTAGAAGAAAAGTAAATGCAAGAACCACGCCATGGGCAGTTGCTGATTTGCCAGAGGCAAAGTGTCTCTGCATTCAAGGAGTCCAGGGTATGGCAGCCAGACATGCTAGAGTGGTAGAGAATGGCAGTTTGTTTGGCAATGTTGTTGAACTTTGCATGGGCAATATGTGTGCTATGTTAGGGTGCTCAAGTGGGCAGCTGACTGAACGATATCCTGCGGCACCACATAATGTGGCTGTGTTGATGCAACACTTTCAATGCAGTCCTAAAAGCGTTTCATACAATGCATAATTATGCAGAATTGTATCAATATAATGATAATGCTGTAAATGTGGTGAACAAGCCTGATCAAAATGTGGCAATCTTGAAAGATGGGAACACAACCCACTTATAGGCACACTGGCTGGAGTGCTTGTAACCGTACATGTGTGCCCAATGTATATTTCGGATGTCACAGATGACATGCTGCACAGTCGGTTGAGAGGTATTAAAGGGCAGAAGCTTTGAATCTTGCAACTAAATTTGGAGTGAAGAAATGGGCAGCCATGACATGCTGCAAACCTCAAGTTCCTTTGCATCAAGAACTCAATGTGAGTGCTGATTGGATATTTTGCATGTCTGCCTTGAAGAAACAAGGCATTTGTTATAGGGATAGGGTTTGCAGTTGGGTGGTGGGAGGCAGCAGATTAGTTTGTTCTCATTGTGGACAGACCCCTTCTGAATTGCACCCCTTTATCATGCTTGGGTAAGTGCGCACAAATATTCAACATCGTTGCTTGGTATAACTTTCCCTCCTCAGGGCCCCCATACAGTCATCTTATAATGCACACATGTGTCCACGTACAGCAACTGTGCGAGCATCATGTTGGGCTAAGCTTACTTCAGTTTCTGAGCATTTGCAGCTGGCCATTCATGCTGAGATACAAACACTACAGTTGTGCTTTGAAATTTGTAGGGACAACTTAGCGCCCACTGTTAAAGGGGACACATTTCCAAGAGCTGGACAGAAGAGATGACAAGACGTGTAGCCTTTTTAAGATGCAATGCTGGGTGGAAAAGCACTGAATGACATTCATGGGAAACAACAAACAATACAAATGCAGCAAGGAGACCAAAAAACTGAAAATGCTGAATGTCAAAAAAATGCAGAATAATTTTTCTTGCAGTACAATTTAATTACTCAGAAAATCTGACAAATGATAGGCATCAGTTGTGAGCAGCACATGGCAGCACAGGAGGCAGTGCAAAACATGGTTGATATTTGACCTTGTTCAAGGATGTTGTTGACTTCTTCTCTTGACTTGGCCATCCTGTCTTTGGGGCACCTCCACAGAAGCCCACCTTCATTGCCATCAGATTCATAGTCTGCACAAGTTGCCTAGCAAAGATCCAATATTGAACAATGGTTAGAGTGCAACAAACATGAAGTAGAGTCATGCATGCTTAACAATCTGCGGAAGCTATGGAATTCACACATCAATGCAATGTTATGTGGCACAGAAACCCTTAATGAGGAGTTGCAATGATTTGCCATTATCCTCTAGAAAAGCGATACTTATGCTGGAGAGGGTGTTCAAGCCAACCATCCACTTGTTGCAACCTTGCACATATGCATACCTGCTCTGGAGCATGCTGGTTTTGAAACACCTTTGGAAAGAGCGTGTCGCAATCAGATGGAACATACTTGTGCTTGTAAGGAAACTGCAGTCGTTCGCCAATCCACTTGGCAACCTGGCATCAAACACGAGATGGGCATTTTTACAAAGGCAAGGAAGATAGTAGGGCATTGCAAGCAATTCTCATATTCACATTTAGCCATGCACGGCTCAACATCTGTTGAGCCATTTTGCTACTCCATTCAATGAGTGAAACATAACTTACATATGGTGACTGATTTGGTGGCACTACACAACAAACCCAACAGTGAGTGTCATGGACAGCAGCTCAATTGTGCAAAAAGCGAAAGAGCACAATGAATGTTTATGAAAGCAACTGGCTAGTCGACAAGTGAAAATGTCATGAGCAGCATGCTCAAATCTGCTTATTAAATTTTGAGTAAAAGGCCAGAATGAAGAGAAGCAGAATGACTACTATTAGACTCATTTTTTTCAAAATTCCAGCAATTATGGGTAGCTGCGTGCCACAAAGGACTTTATATTTATGCAAGATTGCCAGACACATATGGTCTGATTGAGGAAACTTAGGAGACCTTGACAAAATTCGGAAAGGAGCCTCAGCACCTGGGACTAACAAACAATTCCTATTTGGAATACATGCTAGGAAACGAATTACTTCAATCTCACCTATTCATTGGGTCTATTTTTGTGTTGTTAATTTTGTGCTAGCTGTAATGCTTTCCAAAAGTATGTACATGACATTAGGGTTTGCTCTTGTGTTTTGATAGTGTGTGATGCACATGTCATTCATCACTGATGCTTTGCTCTTGGTGAGTACCTGGAATGGTGTTGAAAAGGAATCAGTCAAGGTGATTATTAGCTGGGCCATGTTTGCATAGAAATGTTGATAGGACTTTAAATGATGGGCATTAAATAGGTGGCCAGGACAATCAACATAGCCACCCGGCGGCCAAAACTCTCTGTGTTTCCACTGGATGTGCTTGCATGCCTTCCTGCTCCCTGACCTTGAGAGGCTACTGGAATAGAACAACCTCAATAGCTGCAGAATGAATCTGCCAATACTTATCCCTACTACCACCCCTCCTCCACATCACGTCACCCTGAACCCTGTAGTGGGGGCCCCCACCCCCCTCCTGCAACTGTTAGTGCACAGATCTCCAAATTATCATACCAAATGGTTGTAATGAGTACCCATCATGTATGATGTATCCATGCTTCTTTCACACACAATCGTGATGATCATGGCTTGGTTCTCTCATTCCTTGAACTGGACTAAAGACCTCTTGCCCAAAGATGTGTCTTTAGTGGCCCAATTTCCAATGGGCCATTATCCAACTAACCATTATCTACATTGTTTCCACCTTCGCAATGACTCACAATGCACATTGTGTCACTATCTTATAGATGACAGAAACCACAAGCTTTTCCACTGTCTCAGCTTTGCTCTTCTGTAGCAGCAATTAACCAGTGAGATCCATTACTTGACACATAGATATGGTGATTCGAATTGGGCTTATTTTTCTGGATCAGGACGACCTTTTTTGGCCCAGTTTTTAAAGGGTTGTTCGGCATGCATGCACTCAACATTGAGAGAGTTTTCTTTTCACATTGTCAGGGTTATGATCGATGTTGGAAGTCAGACATGGCAACAGAAAAAGGATACATTGGGACGTTTTGATACATTACGTATATTTGGGACATGGGTTGACGAACTCTTTCTCTCGTTTTTGACATTTTGTCTCTGATGGTTAGGACTCCCCTGCATGGATATCGAATGCTAGCTAAACACTAATGCTTTCATTCTATCTCATTGTTTGGGACCCTACATCAGCTTCTGATGGAAAGGTTTCCAGTTGTACTTTTCGATTTGTGGGGGAGATCCTTGCTTAGATCAGCATGCAATACATTGGAATTCAAAAAAAGTCATGTTATCATCATATCATTGATCATTTCTTTTGAGTATGGTCCATGATTAATTGATGACATTTCTGATTCAAGATTGCATGCATCAGAGTGCATCCTACATCTGAAGATTATGCAAACACATGCCTGCACGGTGACTGCGTTTCCAATAAGAGCAAATCTCTTAGATTCCCACAGATCAGCATCACCATCCTTCAGCGTACGATTCCGATGACTGTTGAGGCAGGGACCGACAACAGGAAAGCAAGGCTCAGTGTAGCCTTTGGGAAAACCCTGGTGAATGTAACAGCAAAATAGTTATATGTTAGGCAGATAGCTTGCTACCGAGAGGCTATCACAAATACACAACCAGAACATTTTGCAAAAATTGCTTGACCCAAAACTGTGTTGCGGTTAACTCCACGATCAGGCCACCATATTTGGGGTGTCCTCCCCCACGTCCTGGCGTCCCCCCTTGGGCACCTTACAAATTCAAATTGGCGCACTGGAGTGAATTTTACTCCAATTGACTTGAGATTTCGACCGCGTCTTGCACATCCCGCCTGAATAACGTGGTCTGAATTTTATATCCAAATTGGCAGTTCCCGCTTTGCAATAGCCTCCAGCGCAACGGGACAGTCTGTCCAAGCCTGGGACTCCCAGGCATGTCATGCATGGACACCAATCTTCACATTGGGGTCCTGGAGCGAGTTTTGCTCCGATTGACCTGAAATTTTGACCACATGGTACACATGCTGTCTAGTTTCTGTGATTCGAAATTTATGTCCAGATTTGAAGTTGCTGATTTGCAGTGGTCCCCCAGAAAACGGGACAGGCTGCCATGCATGACATCTGGTGCCTCATTGCCTTCCCGTCCTGCACCTTGGGGTGCCGCGTGCATTGGTTTTATAGGCACCCCAGGCAGCTGACTGATGACAGGGCACACTCGTGGGTGGGCTGTGTGTCCTCGTTTCAACTTGCACGGTTTTTGTGGCTTGCCACGGAAACACACCACGATGGCTGCCCTCGCCCTCCCATCACAGCAGTGCCCACTCTCCCAAAGCCACAGCAGGCTTGACAATGAAAGTCAGCGACCCACTATCCAGAAGTCTAGGTGTCTTAAAAGCACTCTAAGGTGTTCTTCATGTGGGAGATTCGACAACAATGTTGGGTATGGGACGATCCTGGAAATGGAGATCGTCCACAACTCCACTCGATTGAACCCAAGCAAGATGACTGGGTGGGGCCAGCTATCGTTCCCTCTCGTAGTTTGACTGTAAGGAAGCGTTTCTTGGCCGTTTTCAAGGTCTGCTGAAGGGGAGCGAGGCATCCTGTGGCAGAAAATCTGGGATGGCTGCCCAGTGTGGGATCCTCGCAAAGTTTCCAATGTGGCATGTTCCACTCAATTGGAACGAGGGTTCGATCTTGGACAGTGAGTAGCTACCAGCACGGGCTCTCGTACCCCTTCCTATGGTCTCTAGAAAGGCCGAACTCGGGGCTGCAAAACTTGTGCTGAATTCCCCCCCTTTCCCCAGGCCCAAATCCTAGGCACCCACCACCCTACCCTTCTCTTTTTGTCAATTGACACAGCCTAGGGTGTCCGGACCGGATGTGATTGCATCTGGTTATGAGCTGCCCTGATGCACAGCCTCACTTTCTACCCCAATTCCCATGCATGTTCCAATTTCAAGGGTCCAACAAGTTTGGTGGCTTGCGAATTTTCCATTTAGCACCTTGCCATTGTGATGAATCTGCTGATGGGTGGCACACGATGCCAGAACACCCTCAGTCCGGATGCACAACTGTCCCCACATCTAAAAAGGAATGGGTGTTCTGGAGCTCGGCTCCGTCCTGGCCGCCAGCTATCAACAAACGGTATTTTGGAGAACCGCTTGTGTGGCAATGCCATAGGTTCCGATAGTCGAGCACCTGATTGTGGAATTAATCTTGCCAAAACATTACACTCAAACAACACAAATAATCAATTTGCCCATGTTCTTCAATGTCGCTGGGTTTTGTGGGCCAAATTCCTGCAACGCAATTAACTGATAGATTGTTCGTGACACATCAAGAAATCAGTCTGAGATTTTGTTGTTAAGCATGTTTAGGCATTCAAAAATATGCCAATATTCTTCTACAAGCGCATGGTTATTCTAGTTGCTGAAAACTATCACTTATTTGCAAGGCATGCATCCCTGGTGGGACGGCTATTCTGCCATCCCCACACAATTTCCAGTACAAATACACAAACGCTATTGGGATTTGGGTTTGCTGGCATTGCCCTTGTGTGCTCAGCCCATATTGGCAATGTCAATTGCAGCATGTATTTATGGCCACCCAACCAATGCGGCGAAATTGCCTGATCTATGCCATATTGATTGGGATTACTGCATTCTTGATGTGCACAAGTGCGCATACTTTGAAATTCAACAATCGATCATTTAAAAAGATATTGACATGAAAACCATGCAGACATAAATGCTGCGAGCATCATGCAGCAGATGGCTGTTCTTTGATTGCAAAAGAATGTGGTTTTGTAACTTCTTGAATAGCCATCCCACTGACAGTTTCTCCAAGGATTGTCCCGAAACTGAACTAAATGACACATCTGGGGTGAATGCATGCAAAATATCAGTGTATCTGGAGCAATGATAACAACACTTGTGACATTCCACAAGAAAAAATAAAACATAAACAACAATTTCGAGATCATAAACAACAATTTCGTTTTCACATGCCAAAATTTCATCATGCAAGGGGTGGGCTGCAG